TAGTATATATATATATATATATATATATATATATATATATCAGACACTATATTCGATGTTTTGCGAAATCGTAGATTATACAATAAAACACGCGCAAGGAGAAAGGGATACACACTTGGTAATTAACAAATTATAAATAAGTATGTACATAGAAAATTTACTTGAGGCGTAAGATGCGGAGTCTGTTTATACTAAATAATCAACGTAACAAGTTTTTAATTATGATAATAATTGTGGTCCAATTAAAATATTAATAAGGCGCCGAGTAACAGCAGAATTGTATTATTTATCATCAACTAAATTGACTTATATATCGATACCAGGTGTGAATATCATCGTTGCCTAGAAGATATAAAAAAAAACATGATAGATTAGATTAGTGAAGGAATTGTACAAAGAGCATACAGACAATGAATTAATTGTAGAAAAAGTGAAGATAGAGATAAATAATTTAAATATTTTCTATATCAGGAAAAATCAAATAAATATCAAATAAATTTTTTACATATATATATATAACATCTAAATTAAATTCTCGAGTATCGTAAAAGATAGGAATTAAATTTGGAAAATAGCGAATAAAAGTCTCAGATAGCGCGAGTGAAAGTGTCGCGTAGCCCGTGGACTTATGCACAGGGATTGATTGGATTTCCTACGTAGAAGCAGAAGATGTAGCCGCGGCCGCGACGAGGACGCTAGTAGATTCGTCTACGGTAGATACCGTCAGCCGACGTCCCGAAGTCCTTACGGCAACCATCAACACACCCATCAACACTCCCATCAAATGCACCCTGAGGACGAGGGTATCTATGAAACTGCCGATCCTGACAGAGGCTCAAATACTAGGGGTGAAACACCCGATTGTGAAAGGTATTGCAAGACTCTTTGCGTCACACGAAAAATCCTACGGCTTCACTAGTAGCGATTATTCACTGACACTGAGACTTATTATCGGCTCACATCTGTACCGCCCCTCTATCACAAATCCTACGATAAGCTCACAATAAAGATTTCATTATACCTCAGATAAGGATGGTGCATGTGTTGTCATCTGCGAAAAGAAAATGAATCGAAATATCGATAAAGCTGACATCGAAATAATTGTAAAGAATGTGTAAAAGGCATGTGTCATATCGAAAGTTAACAAAAGGCGCAATTTGAGAGAAAGTAGGAGTTCAAATATAAAGAAAGTTATATCTGCAATCACATCGGAGAGATTTTACTGTTCTCGCGAATATTAAAAAATAAGATAAATAAAAAGAAAATTGTGAATATTGTGAGAATCACAATATATACGATTGGCTGGAAAATCTAAAATCTACATAAAGTATAAATGGACTCGGCATACGATATTTGCAATTCCGCAATTGTCGCGTTCGCAATTGCATCGCAGATTGAATTAATAAAACAGTTTGTTAAAAATAATGGAATCCATGAAATTTTGCAGAAAGAAGCTAAATGCACACGAAAATCTGCATGCTTTTTCGTTTGCTTTTGCGTTGTGTGCATGTTGCTCTAAACAACAAAACAATAACAACACACGTATAGCTAAAAGAATAAAAGAATACATCACAGGTCTACTCGATATGTCCCCGAATAACATGCATCAAATATTGATAATCTGTAAGAAAATTGCCTTGTAAGAAAATTTTTTTATTTTTTATTAATTTTTTCAGATATTTGATTAATACCTAAACAGATCTGGGACATCTAACAGAACTTATGATTATGACAGAGAAATCTCGCGCATGCCGCTTCTCTAATATTTTGCATTGCAAAACTCGCTAAATTACAATGAACAGATTTGTCAATTTTTTTAAACATTACAAGAAATCTTTCTCAATCTATTAATGAAATGGTCTACATTGTGATTGATGTGTGCACTTATCCTTATCTGAAGTTTCTCTTCCTGATATGTTAGATGATAGTATAAAGAATGCCGAATTAAAATAATAGTTGTAGAAACGAATCGCAAGGCTTCGCACGTGCTTTAAATGTTTCAATTAATTTTTTAATTAATGTGTATACGTGATATCTCCTTCTCAGAATACAATTTGAAGTTGTAATCAAAATTAATTAAAGCAAAGTTATATGAGACATATGATTATATATATATTTATATATATATATTTATATTTATGTATATATATATATATATATTTATATATATTTATATATTTATATTTATATATATATATATATATATGTATATTTCCAATTATTAAATTATTTCTTTTAAAATTAATATTTCTTTTTCAAGAAATAAATTTGAAATAATAGCAATTAATTAGTACCTTGATTATCTAGACAAGATTAATTGGAATAATATATATAAACCATTATATATAAGAATTTTATTTTGAAGAAAGTTTGTATAATCTTTTACATCACAAAGGAATAATTGGGTAATTTGATTGGGTCATTTTAATGTAATGACATATTCACTATTTGCAATTTTTCAATTATTAATTAATCGATATTTTTTAGAATTAATTTTTAAAATTACTTGTTAGATTATTTATCGATCCACCAATTCAATCTTATAATCATTCTTTTTTATTCCTGTTATATATAAAGTCCTACTCTATTTTACACTATAAACTTTTTATTACACATCGATAGTTCGGATATAAAGGTTAAACCAAAGAACAATCACGTATGCACTAACAGCTCTCGTTTCTGGGTCGACTGGGTCTCTCCGTTGGTTCCATTTATTGAATGTTGTTACGTCCCGCGTTTGAATGCAGCATTAGTGGCGGTGGACTAGATCCAATGGGCTCGTGTAATCTTATTATTTTCTAGTGATGCATTTATTCAAGCTCAACAACAAGTAGCCCGGTGGACTAGTGAGGATGGAGGAGGAGGAGGAGGAGGAGGAGTGCAGCATCGGCCGCCGCAGCAGCCACCACCGCCGCCTGCGATGCCGGTGCAAATGCAACAGCAGCAGCAGCAGCAGCAGCAGCAGCAACAACAACAGCAGCAGCAGCAGCAGCAGCAACAACAGCAACACCAACTGCCGGTGGAACAACTGCCAATCAAGCAGCGTGGTTATTATCCATCCCCCCCACAAATCGAAAACAACCACGACGTCGGCAGCAACGCCGAAGTCGAATCTGCTCAATCCCAACAACAGCAAACGCTAAGCGAAGTTTGTGGAATTAATGTTAATCACAAGCCTAATATTAACAAACACCCACTAGACGATAACTTTAGTCTAGATTGTAACATAATGAATAATGATTCCCCTAAAGAATTAATTACCAACAACACTAGTGATAATGAAAATACTGCCCTACTGCCCCCCCATTTTCCTGAGTACAAGCATTGATAATTAATTAATCGATGACAGGTAGTGTCTGAGAAAAAAAAGAAGAAAAGGGAAAAGTCATAATAATAATAATAATAATAATAATAATAATAATAATAATAATAAACATAGTGGTAATAATTATGACGATGGCGACGATAATGTAATCTCGAACTCGCATTTTATACTGAATAGTGTAAATAACGATGAACTATAATTGTGACGATTACAAGAACAACAACACACATATTAAATTATAATAAATTCAAATAATCTATATGAAATGTTTATTAATAAACATTAGTAAAATGATTTACTCAAATTTCGCTATATTTGTTATTTTACCTTTCTGCATAAATAGTTTAATGATTGTACTTAAAGCTCGACTTTTTTACCGTGAGATATTGGTCATAGTCGAGAAATGATGCAATAATTACGTCATAGCCGAGAAATGATGCAATAATTTCCTTGCGACATCAAACTTTATTTCTTAGTTTTTATTGAAAAACAATTTTACGATTCTAAAACTTGTATTTACAAAAAAATAAGCAAGAAAAGAAATAATATGATCAGTTTAAGTTTTAAAAGCCCTAATCTTAAGTAATGAAATTTGAATTTTAGTCACTTATTTGATCACGTGATCTATTTTGATAGCTTGAGTATTGATCAGCATTGATCAATATGAAAAAAGATACTTAGGATGTTTTTTCATGCTAATGCTCGACATTCATTTTTAGCGTCAAAATAGATCATATCAGATCATCACAGAATCAAAATTGATACAGAATAGTGAAATTAAATTATCATCTTTGATCGCGTCATTCATTTTGACTCTGAAAATGAGCGTCGAGCATCAACATGAAAAGACACCTTTAAAGAGAAAAAAAACTAACCTAACCTACTTAACCAAGCTAGGTTAGCTCATAGGTTAGCCTAACCCAAAGTGAGTTTGTTATGTATCGCAAGAGAATAACACAAGTATGAGTAACGATGTCGTATCAGAATTCGCCGTTTTCTACGATGTACGATCGGCAGGACGATTATGATCTCGATGAAGATAATGAAGAATATCTGGAAGAAGACAGAGATGTCGTCGAGGAGCAAGATGAAAGTGATGAAGGTGATAATGAAATTATATGTATCTATATAAGTGCACGTTCTATCGTCCATAGTTTTACGCTTGTAATTTTTGGAATTATAATTTATCAATAAACATAATTATGAAATAAAGATAAGAAACATTTGCAAGAACTAACAAAGCTAAAATTTTTTCAGACACCGAGGAGGCGAGCGAAACCGATATGGGAAAGTCCGAAGAATATACAGAAATTAAAGAACAGTAAGTTTAAATATTATATTGTATTAATATATTTACCGTTAGAAATTATATCAATATTTAATCTTTCAGGATGTATCAGGATAAATTAGCTAGTTTAAAAAAGCAATTGCAGCAATTAAATGAAGGCACGCATCCCGAATACAATCGAAAACTGAAACGACTAGAAGCACAATATAAAGAACGGTGATTATTTGTTGATTATTGAATATTTTATTACGAGAAATATTTAGAAAGTTTTCATAATCTTATAATTTCTAAAAAAAAATGAAAAGAATAGGATAAATGAAGCTGAAAAGTATTATATGATTATTTAGCAGAATAAATTGACCTTGCAGTTAATACGAAAGTAACTATAATGTAATGAATGTAACTGTGAAACTTGAGAATTGTACTAAGGATGAATAATGATCTGATAATGTTGTGAATAGGAAGTGTTTTTTTATCTGAGATTTATAGATTTGTCATAGATTGTTATAGATGTGTTCAATATAGAGATAGTACTCTCTATTGTTCAGAACTGTATCTGAATAAATTGAGATATTTAAATATGTTTGTTTATAGAAGTGATTGATGAAGAATATTTAGATTATCTAACTGGTTTTATCTTACCAACTAATCACATGACATGTTATAATATTTCTCCTGTTTCTTCTGTTTTCTTAGAAATCATAAGAGTGTAGAAACTTTTTGAAGATTTTTAGTGTTTTTGAAAAACTACTAAAAATAAAACTTATATTAATAGAGATATTATTTCTATTAGATTGAGATTGAACATAATTTATCGAGATTACTTGACGGAATGGGTCGAACGTGATTATATATTGGAGAAGAAAGCAGCAGCGAAAGAGTTTGAAGAAAAAAAGATTGACCTCAAGGAAAATCTGCTTACTGATATGGAGGAAAAACGAAAAATGATTGAGTCAGACCGTCAAACGATGGAACTCACAGGTGACTCCATGGAGGTACTTGAATTTATTCCTGCTTAAATAATATACGTTTAAAAACCCGAGCTCGTTACTTGGATGCGGTATATTAATTAAAAAATATTTCTTTTTTATTGTGACATTATTCTATCTTAATTAGGTAAAACCGGTAATGACACGAAAATTACGCAGACGTCCCAACGATCCAGTACCTGAAAAAGTAGAGAAACGGCGAAAACCACCTCCTGCACAATTAAATTATCTATTGGATGAGAAAGAGATCGAACTCGACTTAAAAGCAATCAATCGTGCGAAAGCGCCAACCACCATTCGTAAACCAGGTGCACATTACTCGGTATCTTAAAATTCACCATTCAAAATACTATAATAGAGAACTTCTTGGAAAACTAAATAATGAAAGTTTACAATTTTGTTTTTTTTTTTTTTTGTAATTTGCAAAACACAAAATTTCATACTAGCATTGCAATTATATAGGTAGGTTATAACTTTTAGTATTTAGTTTTTCCAGGACTAATAGTATTTTAATGCCCGAATTTTGTGACGCCTTGTACATAAACGAAAAGCGAACATATAATCGAATGTAAAGATTAAAAATAAGAAATAAATTTTTTAGTTAATACATAACTATAATGCTGTATTTACAGTAGTTTTACCACATTACAATGCGGTAAATATTCCATCTCAACATATATCACAGCCGCCTGAGACTCCATTGGTGGAAACTCGGATAGAGGATGGGAAATTATTATATGAGCGAAGATGGTACCTTCGATTTATATTTCTATTATGACTTTATATTGAAAACTTGATTATCCTTAAATATAGAGGGATCCTTTGGTCAAATTTTATTAAAGGTTCCATCGTGGTCAGCCTGTCTATGTCGAAGGCAAGGATCTTAGTAGGTTTGCGGCGAACATTTCCGCAATTGGCACAGAAGTGGTAAGTGTTCGAAGCATTAAATAAGTCGCGCATCTTCGCAAGATACATATTTTTTCAGATCTGGGTGAAAAAAGTATCGGACAGCAGCAAAGTACGCATTTACACGTCGCAATTGAGTCGTGGAAAGATCTCCATCAAACGACGGGCCTCCTAATCAACTCCTCTATTATCCTCGGTATCCATTATCAGACTTGTGATACGTCGCGCTTATCATTTCTTAAAGCGATATTTCCTGGCATTAAATCAATGATTTTCACACTGCTGGTTTTCTGCCACCAGTAAAACCATGCTTTTTGATGATATTGTAGCGTCATGTAAATCCAGACAAAAAAAGACAAAATTAGTAGCGCCATCATTGACAGTAGAGAACAGGTGGTCCATCGTGCCGGTGGAAAATTATCGTAATTGTTCGTAGCATAAAAATCGGCAGCCACTATGCAAACGTAAGAACATGCAATGGTTACGGGGATAACTATAAGACACCTGAGTAGATCAGCCTTCACATTGCGGACATATATTTGATGCTCGTTTTGATTCAGGCACAGCCATACTGTAACGGACCGGAGAGCTTTGTAACGAGGTGTTCTTTCCACTCGGAATACATGACCACACAATTCGCAATTATCCCTGTTGCCCTCTTCTAACCATCGCTCCAAACATTTCAGATGGATCGCGCCCATCGTTCCCTAATTATCATAATTGTAATATTTATATAATTATAAAAATTAACTTCTTTTTTCAAAAGTGTTTCATATATTTCATTGACAAAATTAAATCATTTTATAAATTGGAATATTTATAATTTATTAAAAATAAAACAATAAAAGAAACATAGAAACTGTGTGAATTTTCAATGAATTTTGGATTTTTGAATTTCGACCCTTAGTTCTCATAATTCTTGGCTAATCGAATTTTGTTTATACAATTCTGTTCGTCCGAACCTTACACCTGCAGGGATATATAACAGATAATTCTGAACTAGGATCATAACAAATACGACAGTTTATGTCTTCCACTGAATCACGTGATAATTTTTTTTCCGATTTTGTAACGTCCTCGAGTTCTGATTGGCTTGCACGTAACGATGACTTTTGCTCTAGTTCTACTTCTATTTTTGAAATTATACTATTTAAAATGTTGGCTACCGAATCATTTTTCTCAATCATCACGAGAATGAAATTTCTGCCAAATATTTTTATAAACAAACAACAAACTGTATGAAACATAAGACAGATGCATCATCATTCACAAAGGTATTTGGAAAGGGAATTAAAGCTAGGAGCATTCTTTATTATTGTGTGTATAAAAATTTGTATTATATTATAGTGGATACAGTTGAGTTAGTCGCGTGAAATAATCTTAAAGAGCCATGTAACTATATGTGCATTTTATAATTAATGATTAAACTATAAACGAATGTTTGTCACTCTGCCATCATGTCCACACTGAGACAATCTTCGCCCATATTACTGGGTGATGTTTCGAGTTCTCCAATTTCATTTGATTCGCTAAAAATATATTATTTCAATAATCTTGTGTTTAATTAAAAATAATGAAAATAGAAATATTTATTAGCAATAAAGTAGAAAGCCCACCTGTCCAAGGAAGGATCATTACTGAACATTTCTGTTGGAACTGTAGGTGGTGCTTTCTCTGGCACGAGTTCTAGATATGTCTGACGAGATTCCAAATGTCTTTCTACTTCCTCAGGTGTCATGTGCCCATCAGACATCAAGGACATCGGAACCATATTATTTGAGGATTGTACCTGAAATAAAAATATCTCTATTATAATATTCTTTACTAATTATTCTCTATAATAAATTTCGATTTTTAAACACATTACTAATAACATGAATGCACTTACTATAGGTGTGTTGTTCGTTTTAGCAACTTTTGGTGTATTTCTTTTCTTTTTGCTAGTACTAAGTGGTTTTGTGACCATTGGCGAATGATGAGAAGTATGATTATTAACGTTCATTTCAACTTTTTTCCTAAAAATTATATAAAAATATATTCGTACAAAACAAATAATTGATAAAAATTGTATTTCATATGTAATACTTTTTATACATGTATATTGCATGTTATTATAATCATGTAATTATAGTTAAATCATTTTAATAGTTAATTTATTTAGGACAGAACTTCCTCTCTTTCATAATCAGATTGCTACATTGCTTTATATAACTTCTTTACCTCTTGGAATTGTCAAGACGAACAACTTCCTCATCTGATGATTCGGTTTCATCACTTTCGCTGAACGACGCATCTACCTTTTCATATTGCAAGAGACGATCTAATAGGAAACTCTTGTCCCTATTCACCTTGAGCAATTTTCTTTGCGTGGAACGTAGAGCTTCCTGGAAACACTCATTCTCCTGCAATATAATATATATTTTATTATAATATTTTGTTGAAATAAACAATATCAAAAAACAAATATCGTTGCATACATAAATCAAGAATTTTAGCTTCCTTTTGAGGTTGCGATACTGGTCCTTATAGTTAGGCACTTCTTCCTCAGGACTCTCTTCATCGTCTTCTTCTTCTGCATCTGCATTGTTGTTGGCAATGGATCTGCAATACCATCCTTCCAACATTGATCATCTGCAACTGCAAAAAAACACCTTTATCATCATTCATAAAAACTCTTCAAAATTTTTCCATTAATACTCAATGTTATAATATACAAAAACTGTATACAATCAATTATTAATAGATATAATAAATAAAAAAAAGCTTATCCAAATAAAAAATGTTTATTCTCATTAAAGAAAAGCAAATAAATGAACAAGTAATAAAAAATTAAAATTAAAACTAAATGGACAAAGAGTTCTTCAGAGACGCACTTTGGTGTCGTTCTGGGAGGTTAAGTCCCGCGAGAAACGCGTTAACTTATGCGCCAGTCGTTTAATTGTGCAAGGAAACGAATGTCAGGCTGTAATTAGTCGTGATATTAACGGCCGATTTTCTTTTGCACTCACTTGAAACCCCAGAATGATTTGTCGCACGTCGCAAGCGCTCGCGGCGGCCGATTATTGCGAAGATAAATAAGCTGTTTATGACTGGCTTCCATTCTGAACTCTTTATCGATTCCGCAGTAACTTCAGCGCCTTGCCGGTCGAACGGAAGCGCGCGTCGAATCGCCAGTATCGCCAACATCAAGACGCAAAAGTATTATTTTATAATGAATTATCTCTAGTAATTTGAAAAGCATTTTTTGCGAAAATTATAAGAAAATTATAAGAAAATTATAAGAAAATTATAAAAAATATAATTGTTAAAATAAAAATATCTTAGAAAATAAATATTTCATGCGTTATCAACACAATTTTACTTTTATCATTGTGCTGCAAATAAATAATTATTTTTAAATACTTTACCTTTTCAATATATAATTTTTTGCTTTTAATTTTGTCTTTCTTATTCTATTATTATTTTAAAATTTATCGTACAATTTTGAATTAAAAGAATTGACTTATTTAACTTATAATATAGATTATATTTATATTATAGTATAGTGCTTACATATAATAATTGAGAAAAATAAAATTAAAGAAATTAAACTTTTTAGCGAAACGCATGCTAAAATGTTATCATATTTTCATTACCTCTCATTTTAAAGATTTCAAGTTCACTATTTAACTATATTATCATTTATTATTTATTCCGTAATTGAATTAAAAATTTGCTTAAAAGTTTTTGAACTACAGTTGAAATATTAGAGTAATAATTAAAAATTGAAAGAATTCAAAAGAAAAATAACGAAGCCTTAAAATGATAATGAATAATTCTTGAGATTGTGTGTTATAAAAATTTATTTTTTAACAATTTATTTATCCTCTGTATAATAAAATTATTAAAAGAAATATATATATGTATACTTTCTGTCTACTTATATATGGTTATATATTACCATATGATATCCTTTATCACGAATCGGTATTGCAAAATTATCATGTTGAATCCTTTCGAACCGACGGGAAACAATATCGATCTTGTGGAACCAGCACATGCGCCCTAAGGGATATCCTTTAGTATCCGCGTGTGCGAGGGGTGAAAACACGTTGGGTTCTCGCTCGAGAAATATCACTGAACATGAACAGTCGATTCTCGTGCCCGTAATAGCGCATTTTAACACGTAATAGCGTATTTCTGCTCTGAAGAAAATGAGTCCCGGGTTGGGTCACGATCCTTTGCCCTCATACAACATCACTGTTCTCGGTGAGTTTTGGGGAAAAGAATTCTTGCATTTTAGAGCAAGATTTATTTTTTCGTATTAACAAAAAAAATTTTTATTAAAAATACGAAAAGAAATTCTCAATTTTCCTTCGATTTTTTTCTTTTTTTTTTTTTAATAAAGTAAATGTAAAAGTGCAATAGTAAGGGTTGCTCGTCACATGAATGAAAAGACGTCGCACGCGGCAGAAATATTACCACGTTTACGTGAATGGAAAGTTTATGAAAAGCAATAAATCAATCCATCGATTCTTCTTTATGCCTTTCAAGGAAACACCGCACTCTGCTTGTGGCAACAGCCGCAACATATTTTATTCCAGTTGGCGAATTTTTGCTTCGCATTGTCGTACTCAGCGCCGTCTTCGAAAAAGGGAATTTTATTCATGCATTCCGTTCTAATCATAGGTAAGTAATTAAACGATTATCTATGTCGTAAATATGATGAAAAAAATGCGCAACAGATAGATTAAAGATGTTAATTTTTTGGAATTAATTTTAAGAAAAATATTGATTTTTAATAATTTTAATTTTCACAACTTGTAATTGTTAAATTTATTTGTATTATTAAATTTATTTTTTTAGAATTATTAAATTTAATCTGATTAAGTTTTTTTCTTACTTCTATTGTTATCTTCTAGGTTTTATGTTGCTATCAGGATGGGCTTGGCATGTCATTTGCGCACCAGATATCTTCTCCTGGAACTTTAGTTTTTTATTGCTCAATATCGGTCAATTAGTATATATTGTTTATCAAATGAGACCCATTAGATTTGATCCCGAATTAGAAGAAGCTTATCACACGCTCTTCTATCCTTTCAAAGTAAGTTTTTCATGACAAAGAGATCTCTTCGTAAAACATTTTGGAATTGATCTATTTTTCTTTTTGACTTTTAATTTGCATAGGTCTCACGGATACAATTCAAACGATTAGTGTCGCCAGAGTTTGCAACGATAATGTCTCTTCATGCTGGCGAGGCATATGCGATGCAGAACCTAACGAGAACGGACAGATTAGGTTTGTTGCTTACCGGGAAAGTCAACGTCCTGAGTGATACTAACTTTCTGCATCCGATATTGCCTTGCGAATTTTTAGATTCACCAGAATTTGAAAGTTCCCGAGCTTCTGTTGACGATAAATTTAAGGTACAATCTTGATTAATTTTTTATCTAATTACTAAAAATTCTAAACCAAAATAAATCTTCTTCTAGGTTTCTATTGTGGCGGCAAGTTCCTGCAGATATTTATATTGGCAGAGAACAGCTTTGGAATATCTACTCGTGAAGGAAACTTATCTTGCAACTGTCTTAACTACACTAGTGGCAAGAGATATCGCCACGAAGCTATATGCAATGAATAACAAGGTACTTTTTTAAAAAATTATTAAAAAGATTATTTTTATTTTAAAATTAAATTAATATTTCTTGAAATTATTTAGTCAAATGTAAAATTATTTTTCTCTTTTTTATTAACAATCTAATTTCTTTTTACATACAAGTATATATAACTTTTTATATAGTTTATTAAATATAGGTCATTTTATTATATAGGTCATTTTATAAAAGGTCATTTTATTAAGCATTTAATATGATTCTAATATCCGATACATATTGTATTTCTTTTATTATAAAATCTTTTTTACAGTTTTATCTATTAATATTCTAATCTTATCAAAATTTCAGATAATTACGGACAAAGGATCACACTTGGACATTCGCCTTCCTACCATCAGCGCCGGTTTAGGAATTAGCAGTAAGTATAGAAGTATTCAAGCTTATAAAAAAGTGCTAATTCATAAAGAAGAAATCAAACCGACGTTTAACAACGGTTATTTATTAATTGAGATCGAGTTACGATTAAACTAATTGATTTATTGTTTTACAAAACTCTGAGGAAAAGTGTTTAAAAGTAAAGACATCATTTTGCTCTCCTTTTCATTTTTGTCAATATTAAGCTATTGTTTCAAATAATTGTTAATTTTAGTTAGTAGCACGAAGGCCAAGGAACGCGCAGCGAATAACTTGACGAAGAAGGGTGCGCCGAGCATGGAGCCTCTTCCGGAGTTGCCATCCTGTGACGATCTGGCTTCTAGCGGTGTGGAAAGCTGGCTGGATTCCTCCAGCAAGTATCACAGTTGCGAAATTGTTGACGATGAATAGCATTACGCCAACTACTCGAATTACGAGAATGTGCTGGATGACTCCGACGACGTCGAACAGGCTTTCGATTTCAAAAGTACGGAGAGTTGGCGATCATTCGAAGACTAGCAGTAGAAAAACAAACTTTTACTTCTGTTCGATTTCAGTTCATGCAATTTCCGGATTTCAACTCGCCGGAACGAAGTTTTTATATTAAAGATTTGTATATTAAATCATTGTTATGTTATTTCTGTAATTAATTATAAGTTGAATTTTACTAGAGAATAGTTAAGATATCTCATTAAGGACTAGATTTTTACATCGCAATATGGTACAATATATTCTGTAGGTTTGTTGCCTAGCAACGAAATTCGCAACGAAGGCACCTTTCAAAAAGTAGGTATATATAATGTAAATTTAATGCGCTATGTACATATGTGTAAATATCAAACTTGATAATGGTTTCAAAGAATGAATTCTATTGTGCAAAGAAAATAATGTTTACAGAAGTATTTTCGGAACAATTTCCGGATAAAAAATACATATTAAATAAATCTAACATTTATAGATAAATACTTATAAATACTTATAAATGCGCCTATAATGTTTTTGTAAATATCAAGAATGATCAAAGGATGGAATTTAGTAGAAATCTAGAATTTCTTATCAATAAAAGATTTTTATAAAAAGATATTAGAAAAATGTCCACATATATTTAACCAAATCTTAAAAAAAAATCAATATTTATAACAATAAATAAAAATATATGATATTAAAGACAAAATGTTTCATTAATTTTGTCATTGCATCAATTTTACTTTACACTTTTTTTAAATTATACCTTAATCAACAAGTCCCAAATGTTTTTAATAAAAATTTCAAAAAATATTTGAAGGAAAAATTATGATAAGATTAATTTTTTATAAATATGTATTTATATAGTTTTAAATTATTAATATGCATTTGGATTTTTATTTTTTCAATTGCAATATGTTAAATTTTATTACATTTTCCAAAAGGTCTTTTTCTTCATTTTCTTTCCCTCTTATCCATTTATAAATATAATTTATTATATATATCAGAAGAGCCAAGTTTGTGGCCAAAAAAGTTTGACAGAAGTTTAGAAAGAAGCTCTAGAAGGAAAAAGAAAGAGAGAAAATACCTTTATTTATAGAAGAGAAAGACCATTCGAAGGACTCTCGAATAAGATTTATAGCAGGTGCCTTCGGCCTCGAAAAGGGGGTTAGCGAACGGTGGTGCCACCTACGCGGAGGGCGTGGTGCTAGTTCCAAGGGTGGTTTAGTGTCGCGAGAGCCCCCAGAGGCGCGTCATCGTGCGGAGTGCAACCCCCGGAGTGTACAGTTTCGCGCCCTCGGGTCAGGGCGGCTAAGAGCAAGAGGGACGCGCGCTTGAACGCGATCGAGCGAGCGCGAGGGGGTTGAAGGTGGACAGGTGGGCAGATAAAGGAGGGATGAGAAAAGCCCTGCGGGGTGACCAACAAGAGAGCAAAGCTGGTTGGCGTACTCTGCATGCGCGTATACATCGGTAAGGGAAGACTCCGTGAGATGAGCGTACAAGTGGCCGTCGTTCCTTGTGTTGCGTCTTCCCACCGATGAGGCCGTATCCTGCGAGAAGATTGTGCAAAGAACAGGAGGATATCACCGCCATCATCATCGCCACTGCTACCGCTACCGCTACCGCCACCGCCACCATCGACAGGACAAAGGACGACGCCGTTGCTGAGGACTACTCTTCCTTGCTTCTGGCGACAGTGACCATGGCGTCCAGCCTGCCGTATAAACAGTGTTCCAATGAAAAGTACGATCCACTTTCCAGGCTGGTGATGCTGCCGTATTTCCGTTGGCGAGCGAGCGGAACATCCGGTGCGTTGAGAACAGGGGATGCTGGAAAGAAAGGGAGGGAGAGAGAGAGAGAGAAGCTGTGGCGCGTTTTCGTGCAGCTTCCAGCGAAGCTACCAGAGAAAAAAAAATCAGAGTGTGATAATCTCACTGCTGGACCGTAGGGTGTATTGTCGCGCGGGAGATTCACGGCTCGGGGTCGCGAACGCGAGAGAGCCGATGAGCGTGATGTGCGATTGTTATTGATCAGTAGCGTGATGAAAACATGCATCTTGGCCGCGTAGTTGTTGCTCTCGCGACAGACCGCAGCAATATCGCGTTACTCGTCTAGATTGTTTGACATAGCAGAAGAATCAAAAGTTTTAGGAAAATTTCGTATAGACGAAGAAGAGGGAGAGGGAGAGGGGAAAAAGAAAGAGAGATGAATATGTAATCAATGAATATGTAATTGCTATTGATCAAAAATAAAATCAAGGTGCTGACTGTTGGATATTATGTCAAAATATATCTAATCTAGTATCTCTAGTTATTTTCTCTAGTTAGGCAAGTTGATGGAAGTTAATTCTAATAGTTTCGCAACTGATGCGAGAACATCTGACGTTACTTATGGGATGCTGAGAGGGATAATCTATGTTTAAAGAGTTTCGCGTGGGTTACGAAGAATGATGATGATCGTTCGAGTTGGTACTACTAGTTGTGTGCTAGTCAGCAGAAAATAATTGGGTTACGAATGAAAGTTGGCGAGTTATCACTATTAATAACGGATGAGATTTTGTGCTTTGTAACGCTTAGTAATAAAATGATGACGTTCCTCTCGTTTGACGAAGTATTTTTTTAAACTTTTGAATTAAGAAAAGCTTGTATTGCTGCAAGCTTAAATTAAAAAGTTAAGTAATTAAAAAATTTAATTCTTTAATACAGATTTTAATCCTCTTAGACACCTTGATTACTCAAAAAGTGAAACTCTAATATTTTAAACAAGATTTAAATGTTTAAAAATTAAATTTTAAACCAATAAACTTTTAATATCTCTGTCCCTCTCTCTCTCTCTCCCTCTCTCGCTCTCGCGCGCGCGTTTTCATTTCTTTTCTCTTTTATTTTATAACATCTCTGTTAAAATTTAAAAATTAATTAAAAATGACATAAATGACTAACATTTTTTAAAATTTATTTAAAATAAATAGGAAAGAAAATAGCTGGCGCTTATAGTCGCTTTACGCGGTTCAATCGTCAAAACTTAAACTAACTCAAGTTAACTCGTTTAAACTTTGCAGTACCAAGAGACAAGATTGCGACGGTCGCTTATCTCTTTAATAGTTAAGAAAAAAGTTAAATCCTCGCTGATTTGTAAATCGTGTGATGTTTCAGGCATTTGCCACTAGGCGACGAAGAATCCAGAAACGCTTCGTTAAAACAAATCACGGGAAACTGGCGACAGTTATTGTGACTTTACTTATCTATGTGATCTATGTGATCGATCTACGTATTTCTTTTCTTGCGTGTGGCAAGGTTGTCGGGTTTGAAAAAGTAATCGGTCGCGATGGTGTCGCGCGGAATGATGGTCGTTTGCCTCGCAGATTCCGACGAGGACAAAGAGAGCTCAGCGCTTTCGTGCTTGCTGCTGTCGTCGCACACTCACAGCAGACTGAGGTGTATCATCTTGCACTCCAAAAGACATATCGCTTATCCACCATAAGGTAAGGATCTAAAGGATACTATTACGTAGATTAATTAAAACGACAGCATATTAATAATTAAATCGCTCTATTAAAATTGAAAAATTGCACGATAGCCTTAGAGCTCTCTTATAAGCTACCGATGATGAAAGAATGTGCAATTTTGCAAAAGTGAAAGGTTACAGATAATTAAATACTCTTTTCAACCATTAAGATCTCTATCTTATGTTATAATCTCCCTAATCGGTCGCGTTCGCGCTGTTCCGACGTAAAAGAAATTAATTGTGACATGCGATGCTAGAGCATTTACCTGTTGCTTTATGTTCGTGCAAAGAGACGACGAAACTTGCAAATAATAACTAGCCGCTAATTTCGCAATTTGTAATAATTCTGCGTGTAAAAGCAAAATCGAACTTTACCTTCTAGGTGCTCGAGAAGAATTAAAACGAGTAACCTTAATATGAGAGAATGCTTTCGCTTCTGAATTGCGCAAATTAAACGTTTAATTGCGAAAATAGTAAATATATTATACAATTTAATTTATTTGATAATATAAACATATATAGGAAAGGATTAAATAAACTAAATAATTACACAGTCATAATTTATAATTCAATTTATTTCACGCAATTAGAGAAAAAGGCTTCGTTAGCACGCAGTGCAGCAACGCGTTCTGAATGATTTAATATTTTGCGGAAACTGACTACTACGTATACATATGTGCTTTTGAACCTCACAATATGACGCAGCACTCGTATGTTGATACATATAACTGTAATATTGTAGAATAAAAAAAAAAAAAAAAAACTAAATAAATTGAATCTCAGATTTGGATATCGCGTTTTGAAATGGCGAAGAGACTTCGCAGCCAATTTGCCGACACGTGTATCGCAGTGCGTAGTGGCCTTTAAGAAAGAGGGTCGCACGTAGCAGACCGCGTGGTTCCTCCGTCGTTGTCGAAAGGGTCGATAGCCCTCTCTTCTCGTACGGCGCTCGCGCCAACCCCACGCGCCACATTGTAGACAGCTGCTGGCTGTTTACTAGACGAGTAAACGCTACCCCCGTCAAAGTTTTCTATACTGTAACCTTCGGCCTCCATAGTACGGAGAATAAACTCTCCTCTTATTGACGCATTATTTAAAGTTACTTTGAAATTACACACCACATTTTCTTTCGTAGCTTTCTTTATTATCACATTATATAATAATCATTGTATGTATTTATTTTTCTTTTTTTTTTCTTTGATTTAGGGCAAGATCGCCATTTTATAAATAGTCTCGCAATCTGCCAATCTATCCTTGATTTTTATTCTTGATTGGCCATTGGGTTTTATCACTTGTCTGAATAATAAGTCCTTCTACTCGCTTAAGTAATGAAGGACTAGATTGGTGAAACGCGATTTCTTCGACATCAAGTAACGCTAATGTCATCAACTTGCGTGTTAACCAACGTTAGTTAATTCGACATTGCATGATCGAATATGAACAACTCTCGTGACTTTGCATCGGAGAAAAGAGACGTATAGAGGAAAATTAATGGTGACGCAGGAGACGCGAGGATAATGCGCACACAAAGATTCTGATTTACTTATGAAATAATCGTGCACAAATTCCGAACAGAGGTCGAGAAGTCGCACAAAACTATTTACATGCGATGGACTCGCACACGATAAGCTTGACGGGGCAACAAGTGTTCCCGGCGTAAATCCAAGCGCAAGTCCAACATGCTCCAGCCTGGACCTTGACTCGGCAAATGACATTTTTACAATAGTCGAGATT